TACCATATACCTATATATCATATAATCTTTTCTTTTTTTTTTTTTCCAAGACAGATTCTCACTCTGTCACGCCAGCTGGAATACAGTGGCGCAATCCTCAGCTCACCGCAACCTCCGCCTCTCAGGTTCAAGCAATTATTCTCCTGCCTCATCCTCCTGAGTAGCTGGATGTACAGGCGTACAGGTGCACGCCACCTCGCCCAGCTAATTTTTGTATTTTTAGTAGAGATGGGGTTTCAGCATATTGGCCAGGATAGTCTTGATCTCTTGTCCTCGTGAAAACCTGACAACCTATGGACTGGTTTTTGTATTGTTGGTTTTATGTGTCTGTCTGGCCCAAACAGAGTTTTGGGTCTTCGTTTTTGTTTTTGTAGCACAGGGTGTCACTCTGTCACCCAGACTGGAGTGCAGTGATTCAATCATAGCTCACTGCAACCCTGAACTCCTGGACTCAAGCAATCCTCCTCCCTCAGCCTCCCAATATGTGGGAATTATAGGCATGAGCCACCACACCTGGCCAGTTTTTGTTTTTAATGAAATTGATTGGCAGCTTTTAAAAACTAGGAGAAATCCTGTAATGATCTGGAGTTCCGTTTTTCTTGACAATTCAGTCTGACAATGCAGGTTAAACTGGCAAGAGCCACATCCTTTACAAATTCCAAAATGTCACCTTACCCCCGGCCCCAAAAGCTGACATATCCAAAAGGCACAGAAGACAAACTTTGCAGCAGACAGGCCTGGGCCTGAAGGCCAAACTCTATCCCAAACCATGGGTGATCCTTGGGTAGGTAACTTGCTTCTCTGTACCCCAGTTTACATTTCTGTGAAACAGAGATATTAACTACTTTAAAGGTTGCTGTCGTTTTTTTAAAAAAATAGTTTTATTGGCTGGGCATGTGGTTCACGCCTCTAATCCCAGCACTTTGGGAGGCTGAAGTAGGCAGATCACCTGGAGTTCAAGACCAGCGTGACCAACATGGAGAAACCCCATTTCTACAAAAAATACAAAATTAGCGGGGCATGGTGGCACATGCCTGTAGTCCCAGCTACTAAGGAGGCTGAGGCAGGAGAATCGCTTGAACATGGGAGGCAGAAGTTGCAGTGAGCCGAGATCACGCCATTGCACTCCAGCCTGGGCAACAAGAGTGAAACACCATCTCAAAAAAAAAAATTTATGACAGAAATTTTTTACAGAAAATTTATTACAGAAATTCACTTTTGGGGGAATACAGTTCTATGAGTTGTAACACCTGCATATATTCCTGTAACCACCACCACAAAGAAAACACAGAGCAAGTCCATCTCCCAGAGAATCCCCTCCCAATGTGTAGGCGAACCCTCCTCCACCCCAAGCCCTGGCTATCACTGATCCGTTCCCCCATCTCTGTAATTCTGCCTTTCCAGTATATTTTTGAAGGAAATCCTGTTTTATTAGCTATAGTAATTTCATCATTATCCAGGGTGCTCCCTCATTCTCCCTGTCTAAGGAAAGAAGTTCCACAGCCGATAAACATAACCAAGCCCCATAAAGCATGTGCTCAGTCCCTGGGTGGTGGCTGGAGAATTCCTTAGCATTGCCCTCTTTGTTCTGATCTCATCCCCACTCACAGCACTTCCATCGGTCCCTAGCTGGTCATTGCAATCCCAGCCCACAAAACACCCACATTCTCAATGCTCTTGTTCCTGCTGAAGAAGTGTGGCCTAGGCCTCGAAGAGCTCCCAGAGGAGACACAAGAGAGCCTCAGATCCCCTGGTACCCACCCACCACCATGACACACGACAGGAAGAACCCTTTCCCTCCCACAACGAATCAAGCCAAACGAAAGACCCACAGTGTCACAAGGAAGCCCAGTGACCACCCGGTTTCAGGAAACAGCTATTCTTGACAAGCATGACTGGCAGAGAGGAAATGTCACCGTGAGAACGCCTCCAAACAGCGTTTCTTTTCAGGGTATGGAGGTGGAGGGAGGGCGTGAGAAAGCCAACCACATTTTTGGGAACAATGAATGTTCCCAAGGAAGCACATGGGTCCCTTTTCACTCAAGTGAGGAACCAACCAACTGGTCTGAATTGGAGCCCTGGAAACAGTGGCCCTGACCATCCTATTATATCTGAGCTTCACTCACAGGTGAGCCAGGATGGGAGCCAGGCTGTGCTCCGGCCCTGATGCTTCTGGGATCCTAGGCACCCCATGCCTCCTCTCCACACCTCCCTCGTTTTTCTCCATCTGAAAACAGCACTGTAGAACAAGATGGACCTGGAGAGCACCAACCACCAAAGGCGTGGAATTCACATAGAAGCATCACCGGGCACACGTGGCCACCCTCTCTTCCTGAAACCCCCACACTGGAGGCTCCAGGGCAACACACTCCCCTGGTGTGGCTCCTCCTGACCCGCCTTCCTTTTCAGGCTCCACCCCTTGCTTCTCCTCCTCCACCGGTTCAACGTCCCAGGGCCCTCACTCCTGTTCAGTGCTCTAACCTTGACTTGCAACCTCAGGAAGCCAATAGGGCTGGAGTCTTGGTTGAGTGGGGCCATCCTATGCGCTGGGGGATGCTTAGCAGCAACTCTGGCCACCAATCATTAGATGCCAGCAGCATCCCCATCACCCCCTCAAAGTCATGAGAACTACTGCTCTAACCCAATCTCACGTACACATCGAGATTCCCAGAATTACACCTCCTGCCTGAACCTGGCCGCAGGAACCCTACTTCCTGCCTCCAGCTGCCCTACTGACGTCTCCACAGAGGGATGTAACAACAGCTCAAATTTACAGAATTTAAGCTGGACCCTTGGCCGCTGCTCCTCCCGTACCCAGATCTATCAGCACAATTACTGACACAATCTAGAAATTCTCTGCTGGGGGGCCTGTTCTACGGGGTGTAGGATGTGCAGCGGTATCCAAGGCCTCTATCCATTAGATGCCAGGAGCACCCCAACCCTAGGTGTGACAATCAAAAATGTCTCCAAACATTGCCGGGGGTGGGGCAGGTGATACAAAATTGCCCCCAGATGCAAAAGACTGATGTGGACTATTCTAAACACAGCACAGAGAGCTCCTTCTGAGGTGTGAAGTCCATTCACATCCCTCCTGCACTGAACCCTCCACACCAGGGTCTATGAGACCCCCGTACTGTCTCCGACTCCATGGAGTGGCCTCACCCTCACTCACTATGATGCAGCCACCCTGGCCTCCTTGCTAACCCTACAACACACCCAGTTACTCCTACAGCACACCAACTTAATCCTTACCGTAGGGCCTTTACAATCTCTTATTCTTTCTAGAATCTTTTTCCTCCTAATACTGGCCTAGATGATTTTTCTTGTCATGTGAACTTCAGCTCAAATATCGCCTCCCAAAGAGGCTCTGTTTAACCCCTTCACCTAAGTGGACTTGCTTTCCACTCTATCTCCATGCCTAGAATAGTCACAGCACACAACAGATGTTCAAGAAAAATCTGTGCCAGGTGCAGTGGCTCATGCCTGTAAGCCCAGCACTTTGGGAGGCCAAGGTAGGCAGATCACCTGAGGTCAGGAGTTTGAGACCAGCCTGGCCAACATGGTGTAAGTCTGTCTCAACTAAAAATACAAAAATTAGCTGGGCAAGGTGGCAGGCCTCTGTAATCCCAGCTACTCAGGAGCCTGAGGCAGGAGAATTGCTTAAACCTGGGAGGTGGAGGTTGCAGTGAGCCGAGATCACGCCATTGCACTCCAGCCTGGTGGACAAGAGCGAGACTAAGTCTTAAGCAAACAAACAAACAAAAAATCAGTATGAGGATGCAATGAATTGATCAATAATGAATCCATTATGGGCCAGGTACAATGACTCATGCCTGCAATCCCAGCAGTTTGGGATGCTAAGGTGGGAGGACTGCTTGAGGCCAAGAGTTCAAGACCAGCCTGGGCAACACAGCAAGACCTAATTGCTACAAAAAATTTAAAACTTAGCTAAGTATGTAGCTAAAAACTAGCTAGGCCTGTAGTCCTAGCTACTTAGGGAGGCTAAGGCAGGAAATAGCTTGAGCCCAGGAGTTCAAGATTGCAGTGAACTATGATTGCACCATTGCACTCTGGCCTGGGTGACACCCATCTCTAAAAAAATAGTTATCATCGCGCATGCCTGTAATCCCAGCTATTCAGGAGACTGAGGCAGGAGAATTGCCTGAACCCAGGAGGCAGAGGTTGTGGTGAGCCGAGATCACGCCATTGCACTCCAGCCTGGGTAACGAGAGTGAAACTCCGTCTCAAAAAAAAAAAAAAGTTATCATCATCATCATCATCATCATCATTATTCAGGAAATGAAGACCAGAATGTAAGAATCACAAGAGAAGCAAGGAATGTCAGAGTATGCTGTACACAGGAAAGGTAAGTACTGATTCCTCCTACTTGCCTCTGTGCCATGGGTGTAATTTACAAATAGGAGAACTGAGTTACTGTGGTCAAGGGCAAATGAGGTGAAAACACTGGCCTAGAGTACACCTCTAGATAAAAGCACTCAGGGCCAGGCACGGTGGCTCACGACCGTCAGACCCCAGTTCTTTGGGAGGCAGAGGTGGGCGGATCACCTGAGGTCAGACCAGCCTGGCTCACATGGTGAAACCCACCTCTACTAAAAATATAAAATTTAGATGGGCATGGTGGTGCACACCTGTAGACCCAGCTAGTCAGGAGGCTGAGACATGAGAATCACTTGAACCCGGGAGGTAGAGGTTGCAGTGAACCAAGGTCGCGCCATTGCACTTCAGCCTGGGCAATAAAAGTGAAACTCCATCTCAAAAAGAAAAAAGGAGAAAAAAAAAGACTTTGTATGTCAGTAGGCCCCAGGAAATCCCTTACTTGGTCTTTTCACAGACCTTGTCTCACCTTTATCCACTGAAACTTTTACATTTTTTGCAGAGAAAAGAGTTGAAGGTTCAAGAACCAAATACAAAAGAGGAGACGTTATTTGAAAAATATCCACAGCTGCCACAGAATGATACTGGTAAAAACTGCAACTGACCCAGGTTAAGATTCAGGATGCTGCCGGTGGTGGATGTTTTGTCCATTTTCGTCGTGACAGGAGTTGACAGTTGAGGAGAGAAGGGCTTCGGGCTGCCGGATAAACTCCCTGCTTGGCCTGCCTTGGTGGAGGCTGGTGAAGCTGAAAAAATAGGGCATTATTAAAAGACAGGTTTACAAAAAAACAAGTCAAACGTATAGGTGTGGTGCAGGGAGAGAATGGAGAAATAATGACATTGTGGCCGACAGAGCATCACAGAAGGGGTGGCACGGGGTGTGGCAGGCTGGCCATTTATTTTCAGCAAAGGGCTTTAACCCGACGTGAAACCGTTAAAGCCACAAATGAAGAAGGTCTCCCCAGTTATTCTATTAACCACAAAGCTCTAAGACAAATCGGCTAAGCTGCCACTGAAATTGGTTTGGCCCATTCATGGGTATAAATCTTTACATAAATAGCGATTAAACCAACCCCCACATGGTCCAGATGTGGAGAACGGGAGCCAGGCTTACAAATGCGTGTCATCCGTTTGTAGAAAGACACTGCGGTCAGCTCACACGCAGCCACTGCACCTGCCAGGGACCAGCTCGGCCCCTTGGGAAATCTCCAGCTCCCATTTCAAAGGCTCTTGAGGCTGTGTGAAGCCAAACCCAGTACCAGATGGAGTGAGGGGGACATTGGTAAATTATCGCCTTCTTTACTGTATTTCAAACTTTTACAGCAGGAGACAGAACTGTACCCACGCCTAAGGCTTTTAGAAATACCTTACCGACTACAGCCTGCTTTTCCTCTCCCTTATTTCACAGGGTTAGGACAAGAAACCACTGACATTTAAAAAAGCAGCAAGCCTCCTAAAGATCCTTTGAATTCTGCCCCTTTGCCCTTGCCCCTCCATGGTACTGAGACTGCCCTGTTAATGTCCATTTAAAAACAGCTGGGACATCCGGGCAATGGTGGTTCATGCCTGTAATCCCAGCACTTTGGGAGGCTGAGGTGGGCAGATCACCAGCAGCCTGACCAATATGGAGAAACCCTGACTCTACTAAAAAAAAGAAAATACAAAATTAGCCAGGTGTGGTGGTGCATGCTTATAATCCCAGCTACTCAGGAGGCTGAGGCAGGAGAATTGCTTGAACCCGGGAGGTGGAGGTTGCAGTGAGCCGAGATTGTACCACTGCACTTCAGCCTGGGCAGCAGAGCGAGACTCCATCTCAAAAAAAAAAAAAAAAAAACACAGCTGGGACTAAAGGCAGGACTGACAACAATGACAGCCAATTCTCCCAAGACAACAAACATTCTGAGCTGATCTGGTCCTTGAAAGGGATTTGTAGATGGCAAATTGGAGTTAAGAATTGAGACTCCCCAGGGACTTCAAAAGTGCTGGGGCACTTGGGTGGGCACTTGCCTCAGTTTCCCCATCTGACAAATTGGAAAACTCAGAACAAGGCTTCAGTGTGTTAAAACTCACATACCGGTTGGGTGCAGTGGCTCACGCCTGTAATCCTAGCACTTTGGGAAGCCAAGGCTTGCAGATCATGAGGTCAAGAGATCAAGCCCATCCTGACCAACACAGTGAAACTCCATCTCTACTAAAATACAAAAATTAGCTGGGCATGGTGACGCACACCTGTAGTCCCAGCTACTCAGGAGGCTCAGGCAGGAGAATTGCCTGAACCCAGGAGGCGGAGGTTGCAGTGAGCTGAGATCTCACCACTGCACTCCAGCCTGGCACCTGGTGACAGAGCAAGACTCTGTCTCAAAAAAATAAAATTAAATTAAATAACAGCTTGGCTGGTGAATCCACAAGACAGAGGCAGCTCTGGTGCCAGGACCTGTCTACACTACTGTTAATGTAACATAGTGGGAAAGACTCCAGACATAAAGAGGCTTGGATTCAACCATGGATCAGAAGCCAGACACTGCGGATTCAAGTCCTGGCTTAGCTGTTGCCCTGCTGTGTAACCCAGGGCCGGTTCCTGGCACCTCTGCCTCTCTCTTCCTGGCAGCAGCAATAATATGACATAAAGGGATGATAACAGTAGCTACATCTCATCAGGCTGTTGAGGATTAAATCAATCATCCGAACAGTGCCTGGCATCCAATAAGTACTCTGTTACCATTTGCTATTGGAGTGGTTTTATTTTCTATTTCCCCATTAACCTCTAGGGCTTTGGGGTTATCCTCTGAACCACTGATTCTCGACTATGAGCAATTCTTCTCCCCAGGGCTACACGGGGTAGTGCATGCAGACATTTTAGGAGAGTGGTGGGTTGCTACTGGCATCTGGGAGGCTGAGACCAAAATGCTACAATGCACAGAACGGCCCCCCCACAAGAAAGACTTATCTGGCCCCAAATGTCAACAGTGCTGAAACTGACACACTACATAGGGATGGAGCAGGTCATGCAGCTGGGATCCTTTTCCTCATCTGGAAATGAGAAGGGAGTGAGAATCAATGTCCTCGGGTGCTCAGCAAGTGCTCAATAAATATTAGAAAATTGTTTTAAGAAATAAGTTTTTCGACACCAGAACTGTTGCATAAAAGAAAAAAAAAAAAGAAATGTTTTGTTTTTGTTTTTGTTCTTTTGAGACAGAATCTCACTCTGTCGCCCAAGCTGGAGTGCAGTTGTGCAATCTCGGTTCACCGCAACCTCTGCCTCCTGGGTTTCAAGTGATTGCTGCCTCAGCCTCCTGAGTAGCTAGAATTTTAGGCTCCCACTACCACACCTTGCTAATTTTTGTATTTTTAGTAGAGATAGGGTTTTACTATGTTGGTCAGGCTAGTTTGGAACTCATAACCTCAAGGGATCTATCCACCTCAGCCTCCCAAAGTGCTGGGATTACAGGTATGAGCCACTGCACCCAGCCTAGAATTAAGTTTTTAAAACAATAAATCTGTTTTACTGCAAGGATTAATAAAATTGGCCTAGCATATGGCATGCCACATTCCTTGGGGGACTGTTAGTATTATTACACAGTCCTATCACTGGTACTGTCAGAAGTAGAACTAAAGTGTTTGTTACATAAAGAAACAAGAATAGGCCAGGTGTGGTGGTTCGCCCCTGTAATCCCAGCACCTTGGGAGGCTAAGGCAGGAGGATCACTTGAGCTCGAGAGTTTGAGACTAGCCTGGGTAACAACATGGCAAAACCTAGTATCTACTAAAAATACAAAAAAAAAAAAAAATTAGCTTGGTATGGTGGCACACGCCTGTAGTCCCAGCTACAAGGAGGCCGAGATGGGAGGATCCACTGAGCCTGGGAGGTCAAGACTGCAGTGAGCCGTGATCACACTGCTGCACGCCAGCCTGGGAGACAGAGGGAGACCCTGTCTCCAAAATAAACAAATAAATAAATAAATAAATAAAAATCAAGGCATTTTAAGAGAAGTAGTAGCAATCAAATCGTTAGCATTAGGATTTTTAACAGTATTCATTCATTTATGCTCTACCTCATTCCAAAAGCAATTTGCAGCTGCTCAAATATCTGTGTAATAGATTGCCGAGAACTCTGACACGGAGGCCAAACCCTAACGGGTAGCAGGAATAAACAAACACACAAAAACTCACAAAGATGCAGGTAGAACACAGCCAAGTGAATCCACATTTTCCTGCTCAACAGGTTAAGTGTGTTTGTTTGTTTGTTTGTTTGTTTGTTTGTTTGTTTGTTTGTTTGTTTGTTTTGAGGCAGTGTCTCACTCTGCTGCCCAGGCTGGAGTACAGTGGGGAAATCTCGGTTCACTGCAACCTCCACTTGCTGGGTTCAAGCAATTCTCCTGCCTCAGCCTCCCAAGAAGCTACAGGTGTGTGCCACCATACCCAGCTAATTTTTTTATATTTTTAGTAGCGATGGGGTTTAGCCATGTTAACCAGGCTGGTCTTGAACTATTGACCTCAGGTGATCCACCCGCCTTGGCCCCCCAAAGTGCTGGGATTATAGGTATGGGCCACCACACCCAGCCTATTTTTATCATTCTGTATATACATTCATGTATACTAAAAAATTGGTAACTAAAACAAGCCTTTAATTTGAAACATACATAGTATTTCCTTTGTTAATAAAGAAACAACTGTTGAGGTTTAAGAGATATGCTATAAATATTAAAACAGTTATGGCTGGGGGTGGTCATGAGTTCAGGAGTTCGAGACCAGCCTGGCCAATATGGTGAAACCCCATTTCTACTAAAAATACAAAAAAATTAGCCAGTCATGGTGGTATGGCCTATAATCCCAGCTACTTGGGAGGGCAAGGCAGGGGAATTGCTTGAACCAGGGAGATGGAGGTTGCAGTGAGCCGAGATCACACCCCTGCACTCCAGCCTGAGTGATAGAGCCAGACTCCATCTCAAAAAAAAAAAAAAAAACAGAGAGAGAGAGAGAGAGAGAGAGAGAGCTATGACTAAACAGATCACAAAAAACTGCAAGTCAATACACATGAGGGTGCAGGTGGTACTGGCATGGAGGCCAGAGATGGTTCTCAGCATCCTAGGTGAACAGAACAGCCTCACAATAGAGAATTATCCGGCCCAAATGTCAATGGTGCTGAGGTTGAGAAAAACCTGTTTTAAATCACTCCAGACATTTTCAAAGGCAAAAAGACTTGGAAATGCTTGTTTCAATTAAGCTTTGAAACAGATGCCAATCCTTTTATAATGCCATACATCTTGCCCAAAGGAAGAACTACTTGCCTTTGAAGTCACAAATAATTTACCCAGATTTCATACTTTGATGTAAGATTCACGAGTGTAGGCTAAAACACATTTGTTATCTGCATTTACAAAATGCTAGCCTGTGTGAAGGGCTGTTCTGACTACAGTAGGAAACATGAGCCTTGGAATTTAAACAAGGAAAAAAATGCCCCTCCCTCCCATGTACTGCAGCACTCTGGACACGGGGGAGAGGAAGAGTGAAGGATTCCTGCTAAATGTCCTTCACTTTAGAACCTCAGAAACAACCTGTATGTTCAAAGTGCCACACCTTGCACAACTCCTATGGTGCCATGCACAGATGAGCACAGCACTGCCAGATGGTCTAGGATGCGTCAGGAAGTGTCGGTAAAAATGCAGTTCTGAAGGTCGATTTGCTAACACAGAAACATATTCAGAATACAAGGCTAAGGACCAGGCATGGTGCCTCATGACTATTA